CTTACTTGGCTTCGATTATTTTCAGGATTTTTAGGAAAGGGACACTTTCATCTCTGTAATATCAAGATGGAATGGTTAGTTTTCTATTTGGTATTAGGTCAGTTTTTAAACATACAGTATGTACTATTTTTTGGACAGATTTTGTGAAATAATACTGGATCACAATGGTAATTAAATAAAATGCCACTGACATCTTTGAGTAAATAACAGTAACAAGAAAAAGAAAAAAAAATGCATAGATTGTAGGACATATCACAAGTAATATTTGTTTTACATTTACTGTGCATAGGTTAATACAAACTATAATCCTAGGATTTATTGTAGAAATGCCTTAAATTGATGGAAATAGTGTATTTTCTTATATGGGTTTGTATTTGTTAACATTGTTTTGGAATACTTTTGTTATCAGTAGCTCCTGTTCCATGTGTCAAACATGAGTATTATGGACTCAGTGTGAAATGTTTTGTTCATTTGTTATTGATACAATATAATTATTGGTAAGAGTTAATAGTATATCTTCTTTTTTTTTTCTGAACTTATTCTGTTAAAGAAAAATCTTTATTCATAGGAACCGTATCATTCAGAAGCGCATCAATGTTCGAGTAGAGCATGTTAAACACTCAAGATGTAGGCAGGAGTTTCTTAATCGAGTGAAAGAAAATAACCAGAAGAAAATGGAAGCCAAAGAAAAAGGCATCAAAATTTCTCTGAAGCGACAGGTTTGTTATGTTTTTGTTTATTTTTCATCTGAAAACCTGGAATGTTTGTATATGGGAGGGTTAAAGTGCAGTCGTGTCCAAAATTTAAGCTACTTGATTATCAACCTATGTCAGTAATCTTTGTATCAAAACATTAATTCAGATTTTTTGTGTTCTTTTAATTTCTTAATTTAAAAAAGTACATAATTTTTCAGTCTTACTCTCTGTCATATGACATGTTTGTCCTCTGGAGTCTTATTTATAGATTTTCTTACTTCACTTATAGGTTTCAGTGTTGAAGTATTTAAGACCTACTATAGATACTGAAAACTTTGGAATATAAAATTTTAATCTCTTCTTGCTTTCCTGAGATATCACTTTGTTTAACCCAAATGAAATTACCTTCCTATCTCTCTCTGTCTTCTTTCAAGATAGCTCTATAGTTATCTCAAACATTGCTTTTGGACCTGTTTATATCCAAAATTCAGTGTGTATTTTTCTTTACAAGAAATAAATGTGTATGTTTTTTCATTTTCGTAGCTGTGGGTTGACAATGTAGCTTGAGATTTATTGTGTGCAATCATTGTTTAACTCCAAGTAGCTAAAATAATTTATTTATAATTCAATTAGGTAGCTAATTTAAGTAGCTTTGGAACATTCTGTTCTAGTGACTTTTATGTTCTAAAATTCACATTTGAAAGCAACATCAATTATTTTGTTGACAACATAATATGAAAAAGTACTTATCAAAAAAAAAAGGCTCCTGTGTACGAATAGGCCTCAACACTAATGTAAGTCCTATATTTCTTGTTTTTTATTTATATTTTTTATTTGTTAAAACTAACTAAAATCTAAAAATTCAAAACTAAGTTAAATAAAAAAATTATCATGTAACTTTGGTCCATTTGTTTAAACTAATGCACAGACGGGTCAAAGAACAGTAAAATCACAAAAGTGAATGAAAGCCGGTGTTAAAATGTTAGAAGCTAAGGGTGTTAGGATGAATTATTGTAATTGTTTTTTGTTACAATTTGCAGACATTCTAGAAATAAAATATTTTTGATTTTATTTCATATTTTTCAACTTTATTTCACTGTATTTAACTCTCAGCATGGGCTCGATCCCAGTGACCGAACTCATAACCATTTTGCGCTTGTTATAGTTTTCATGCTATAACTTTTAAATTAGTAAGCTAATGTTAAACTTTGGCAGAATATCAGAAAACATTACAATACTTTCATATGCAAAATATAATTTTTTTTATAAAGTCTTAAGGTTTATTAAGCAATGTTTTTCTCGTGTCTTTTTTTCTTTTCACATGTTGCCTATCTATCTGCAAAGTAATGTTCATTTTAAGATTAAAAATACTTTTATACATCAGAAAATTTTGAAATTTAACATGCAAAATCTTTATAATGTCCAGATAGTTATCAAACGTTTCTTAAAAAATAACTATATTTTATCTGTTATTTTCAGTAAGTAATCTCTATACAGGTTCAGTAGATTTGACCAATCTCGCAACCACAATAAAAAATTAGGAAATTAATATAAATTATGCCTCTTTCATTCTAGAATGAATACAAATTATAACCAGAAAACAGAAATGTTTAGACTAAATATCTTAAATTTCATAGCATTATACATTTACATATATTTATTATATTGACCTTTTACCCATGCCTGGCTAACAATACAGAAGTTACAATGACGCGGCACACATGCACTCATGTTACCGTATCCAATAACATAAAACTTACCTTTGGTTTAAAGTAACTTGTCTTGGCTGTGTTTTAGTCAACTAGTATTTTGTAAAATACAGTCACATTTCAATTATTATACATTATATATGTATATAGGTTATTGCTATTATGAAACAGGTTCTTAAAGTTATTTTTCTTAAAACATAGAACAGTAAATGAAGTAAAGCAAACAA